CTTCCGGACCTATGTCCAGTTAACCGTTCCGGTTCAATTTTTCCTACACTGGTTGGATCCAAATCACATCAAATTAATAAAAAATAATTAATTTGACCATAAATGATTTTTAGATTAATAAAATGAATTTTTTAAAGTCTCTGGATATTTTATTTTCTCAAAACAGATTCATAAATAGGCTTAAACTGAATTTTCAGTATTTCTGTATTCACAAACAAAAATAAAATAGTAAATAATGATTTGTAAAAATCATTTTCATAAATTTGAAATTAATAAAACACATGGGGGCCCATTATACTCCATAGGCCCCACAAAAATATGGCATGTGGGAAGGAGCGTGGGGCCCCCTTGGGGCTCCATGGATGGCAAGCCCCACATAGTGCAACTTACTTCTATTTTGTGGCATGCAAGTTGGCCACTCAATCAATTTAAAAAAAAATAAGGAACGTTTTGCAATGAAAGATATTTTGGCTATTCAAATAGGCATGTGTAAGAAAATTAAGAAAATAAACGAGAAGAGAATTGAAATTTCTCTACACCATATATTTGATGGGATTGGGTTAAGGAAGTTGAAGGATAAGGTTCTGGCACCTTACATTAGATCATGATGGCTGATCCATGAATTGTAAGGCTAAAATCTCTCACCCCACAGGTCACCTTTGATCAATGCTCTAGATATAATCTCCATAAGGATGGCTAACCTTAGAAACCCTAACTCTAAACATGAGCCTATATATATTCTCATTGTGGGGGCCCAAAAAGTTACATCTCTCTCTCCCCTCAAAGAAGCCTCACGCCACTCTTTCTCCCTAATCTCTCTCATCTCTCTAGCCTCCCTCAAAAGTGTGGAAAAAAAAATTATTGATAGAGAGAAAAGAGGGGCACACCCCACACACAGAGCCTAGAGGGGCACGCCCCATTCACATTGATTGTAGGCTAAAGTTTGTTCCACCTTGCTCTCACCATTGAAAGGTTTCTAGCCAAGGCTTCTTATAGTTCTAAGATCTGAGAAGGACCTTGATCCCGTGCGCCATCGGAAGCGGAGACCTGCAGTGGGGTGTATCAAGTCCAGTTGAGGTAATCTTCTGGCACTTTATTTTCTGTTTTATACAGTTTGTGTTTATTGTTCCCAAGTGAGCTTTATGTAATTTTATTATTAAAATAAAAGAATTGTATTAAGTGGCAGCAAGTGATAATCCATTTGTGATTCATCATTTATTTTGAGTCTATTTTGTATTATTTGAACCTTTGTAAGTGTTCAAACCGGTTAAGAAAAGAAAAATTTGAAACTAAATACACTATCCTAGTTCACCCTGTACAACTTTCAAATGCTGCCTCTACATCCACGAGTTCGGATGTGAGAGATGCGCATGCACACATAGAAGGCCCACATGACTTGTCTGATTGAGAGTTGATATAGAGACTAGAGACTTGAAAGTTGACTAACTAGAGACTTGAAAGTTGACTATCTTTTGTTCTTTGTCTTTATAAACTTTTGGTGGTTGTATGTATCTTTGATGTTAGAATTTTAAAGTTTGGAATTTTGGTTGTTTATGCGAACTCTTGAAGTTCAAAATTTTGGATATGTTAATTAAGATGGAATAGATAGCTTTGTTTTAATCGAATAGATAGCTTTGTTTTACATGTTAGCTGTATTAAAGATTAGCTACCAATCCTACTACTCTTTATCAGCCTAACAGGGAACTTACCAGCCTTAGACAACTAATATTTTGAGATAAATGAATAAATTAAAGTACCTAATATCACATAAGTCATATCTATCCTTTTTTATGCATTATTCAATTTTTATGATTTTTTAGAAATTTTTAAATTTAATGATCGCATCAGAAGTGATGCGCCTGCATTTAGGCTACATCGCATTGTCCCTAGTCAAATCATGATCGCATCCTGCATTTTAAAACATCGATTGCATCCCACTTGGGTTTTGGCTCCTTCAGTCTTTGAGATCCTCTCAACTCTAATCTCTAGCATAACCATTTGATTTCCCCTGAAATTCACCTTGCTAGGGAATTTCCTAACACTCTCACTCTTTACTCAAGGCAAGGACTAGCCCAAGTATTAGCACAAGAGTTTTATCAAGAACTTAACCCCCAGAAATAGCGAAGAGCATGGGGTATTGATACAATTGGGGGTAAAGTTAGCCTTTGTGCACCATTACTACATCTAAGGGGCACGTTAGTTACATGTTCAGAATGAAATGTCGATACTTTGCCCTTGACATCTAGGTTTCAACTTCTATCATCAATTTGCCCCTTTAGTTTGGCCAAATTGCCACAGTTATGGGCCAAATTTGTTCCAAAAGGTTGATGGAGAATTGACTTATGAACCATTTGGCTCAAATTTCATCCAAAACCCCCTCACATTCGTGGAGTTATGGATGAATAGTTGCCCAAAGTCAAGCCGCAATAGACCCTATTTTTGCCTTGAATTAAGCATTGATCCACTCTCAAATCTTCGAGCCAATGATGCCATGGGCTATATAGGTTTTTAGCCCGGAGAAAGGAGGGTTGTGTTAGATGGGCAGTTAACATAAAATTTTTGCCACATCTATTATGTAAATCTTGAACCAAATATGGCAAAACTGGTTGTGCAACCGACCCAACATAGTTGGGATGAGGCTCAGATGATGGTAATGAGGAGGAGGAGGAGGAGAGAAGGCATAGAGGTCATGCAGCCTAATGCAGGCAATTGCCCCTTTGTGACCTTTGATTTGTCATTCGATCTGGTATATGATCTTGTAATAAACCCCTTGAATATTTATATGAGCTTATAGGGGGAATAGTGAGGAGCATTCCCTCCAAATTTCAGCTCATTTCATCAAAGAGTTGAGAACTCAAAGAATAACGCCCCGAGGAATCAAAAAACTTAAAGGCTCCAAGGTCACTGGCTCACTACAGCCTGTGTGTCGTTCATATCTAGAATTCCAATCACCAATGTGAATAGTATTTCAAACGTCAATGTAAGTTCGAACGTCAATGTAAGGACCGTGTTCTCTTCGAAATATGGGTCAAATGATGCCCAATTGATCAGATAATCTTTTAGGTGACCTTGGGATGACATAGATTACAATCCTACCATCTTCCACCTCAATCCGAGATCATTTCTTATGGGTTGCTTTGCTAATCAGACCTTTTTTTTATGTACTGGTTGTATGAATAGTGACCGTCAGCGTGAATAGTACTGATTGTATGAATAGTGACCGTCAGCATGAATAGCCACCTTCAACTTTGAAAAACTGGGTTCATATGATGTAAGAATGCCCAGACGTTTGGAAGATAGGTTAAGGGCACCCTAGATTAAACCATAGTTGTTGGGTGTGGGTGCATTCCCAGGAGTGGGAGCTGGCTCGTGTCCGCAAAACTGTGGATTTCTGGAAGCTCCTTATAGTTAGGATCATCATTCGTAAGATCCTATATGAAGGAAGTGCGATCCTTGTCACAAGGGAGCACAATTCCATGAGGAAGGAATCGCAATAGTAAGTTTTAAGGGATCGCAAATGATGTGTGGGTTCACAGTGTCATTGGGTACAAACCTGAATCAACAGTGCCGAATAGAGAAAACATCATATGCATTGCATCCTACACTTGAGAATCGCGGTTCAAACCTGCTGGGAACGAGGATCACAATATAGGGATCCACGTTCCATCCAAGATCCCTAGCTGGAATCGTAGGATTGAGGTTCCGGAGCGGATCCGTGACCTTTCCTATGAGGGTCCAGCAACAATGAATTAAACTTCCACCCATTTTCTCCTTATTTTGACCGGGGTGTTTCATGGTCTACAGTTAACCGCTGCCCAATGATCCAAAACCCTTGATTTTTGGTGTCGGGGACTCTCTTGGCACATCTTAAGGACCCTTCAATTTTTCCATCGCATTCAGGAAGCATTTGGAGGTCCAGGGTGTGTTATTTCACATGGCTGGAAACTTGGCTTGTATCATGTGCCCATTTCCTGTTTAGTTGGTGATCCGGCTTTCGCAGATGGTCTACCACAAATGCTTGGTCTACCTTGTAGTTTAAGGGCTTGTTGAGACTAGGTTCCAATGTCTATCCCTGGGCTTTGTATCCCTGTTGTCAGGAAGAGTTGCCCACTTTTATCTAGTCCTAACCTTCAAATATATTTGGTGCAGGTGGTTTGGGAGGTTTTGATTCAAAATACACCCAATCACCATGAAGGTCCCAATAGCGGTCATGATACTCTCCTGGCAAGTAGCAGCCAGGGTTCTCCATAAATGTCTGCATAGAGAATAGGACGTAGTAATTTAGCCCCAGGTAACATCATCCTACATCTTATGCAATCGAAAGCAAAATAAGTTCTTGCCTACCCCCCATGTAAGGTGAGTCATCCCTGGCACCCAACTGGGAGATCTCTGGTGACAACTAGTAGTCTGGTACCCAGATTTCTTGGCTCACAAAAACATGTGCTTGACAAAGTTCAATAGAACACAAGCAATTTTCCCAGCAACCGGCAATAATGTGCTACTTCTGATAACATATACAGGTCCATTCCAGTGACCCATTACCATATACTCATAGGATAAAAGAGAGATATGTAAAACACAAGGAGATAAAAGTATGACTTGAACACATAAAAAACAGTACCGTGAAAGAAAGTTCCAGTAATCACTTGGCCAAATACATAGAGAAAAACACCTAATAGTCATGGGTGTGAAATAAAGTCATGATTAAAATAGTTCCTCCCATAATGAGAAACAGCAATCAAGTCTCATGCAACGAACCCAAAAACTCTAAGTCTTAAAGTTTCAAACACAAAAAAAAAGAGGGGGTTCAAAGAAAGACTTCTATGAATCCATGAAAAGGAAATAACTCTTTTGTGGAAAATATAGAAATGATAAGAGGAAAAGACCATAAATGTTGCTGCAATAAAATAGTCAACTTCAGAAACACCAAAATTATGGACAATGTCATTGTAGAATAGTTGACACAATGCAGTAGTCCATAGTCGAGAACAAATACTTACTTGAAGTGTGAAAGATGATGAGCTGTTCACATGGCAGTCATCTGGAGGATTTATAATCTCTTCAGGACATGACCGACTTTCACAATTTGATTCTCTGACAGAATTGCAACAAAAATCCAATTAGGGTTCAGTAAATATAAGAATGCAGCTACTCAATATTGAATAATGGAAGATATATGAAAGAACATAACTCCAGAAAAGAATTGAAACAATCATACATACAAGCTCTTTCCAAATTCATCATCTAAGGGAGCCTGAAGCAAGGAACCACGACCAACCTGCGCATTCAATTGCATGAATTCTTAAGATTCCCCAGTGGCACACAAGTGCTAACATGAAAACAAGCGATAAGAATTCTTCTACTTTTTCTTAGTTGATTCTGTTTACTAAATAATCGAGACACTTTAAAAAAAAAAGGCTCCTGATTCGACAATTATATTCCACAAAATGCATTTGATTTTTTAGGATATAAGTAGGAATTCTCTAAATATGTTGATCACATATGTTCAAAAGACAGATTCAATAAAAACAGGCAAAATACAGAGTGGCATATGAATCAAATACAATTTGTCCAATCAAATTAATGAAGGAACAAATTGAACTATTATGGTCTAATAAGGGTGAGGACCTTAAACTTTGTCATAACCGTTGCAAGCCCAGGTAAAGGAGGTGGATCGCGTTACGTAGGCAGCCAACATAAAACTTGACACCACATCTTATCATGAATAGCCAACCCCAAATAATTGGGATAAGGCTTGGATGATGATGATGATGATGATGAACAAACTGAACTATTATGAAACCAAATATGACACTTGAGATGAAACTTGATGACATGGGGTCTTGGAAATGGCAAATTAGATATATATGATACATTACAATAGAGCAAACATATTATGACTTTAAATGCAGATGTTGCATGTATGTGAAGATATATACACATACAAACATACATACATATTACATTGTTTACTTATCAAGTCTCATAGACCAATCAGACCGCATACACACTGTAAGTTAAACTCTCACCGACCCCAAATCAAGTTTCAAGCTTTAGAACATGGAATTTTGATCAGCTTATAAAATTTCACAAGATCCTGGTATCAAAAGGTCATGTGAGGATAACATCTGCTTTAAATTATTTCAATATTGACCAGAAATAGGATCACACCACAGAATAAAAAAGATAGCAGCATCCTTTTTGTGGGAGAAGAAAATTAGTGATTTCCACGTGAATGCAGCGCAGTTGTGTGGTAATGTACAGATTACAAATCTTTACATGTTATGCCTTGCGTCTTACAGTGATGTTGTAAAAGAGGGACAAGAAAAGTCGCTGGCCTTTAATTGCATCCCCATGACCAGATAATCTCAGAAGCCCTTGCCCAAATAATCCTAGGACTGCATTTGAACTAATGACTGAATTCTCCTGCCAATGCAAGAAAGAAATAATCAAGGAGCATAGAAATTCACTGGTTCTCAAAGCAAAATATTATGATGCACCAAGAGCTTGAGGAATCTCCACACAGACATACCCTAAGGACAATCAGATTCCGGGCCTCAAGTGAAGAAGCTCCAACACTACTATCGCTCCCACCATCAATTTGGATTTTTGAGTTCCACATTAGTAACATCTTTACAGACATCCTAAATGCACCATACACCTTCAAGAATGCAAAGAACAATTTCTTAAATAATCCATAGGATCTACTTCAGTATTATTAATAGCCAGCAATCAGAGAATAAAAAGACATGATATCTAGATGATTATGCTCCTACTATGGTGAAAAGTTGAATTGTCAAACAAACTACATGCCTTAATAGTGGAATCGCTCAGTAGAAGCTCCTCTGCAACCAACTCAAATTCAGAGAATGGATAATCAGCCAATCCAAAGCTGAGGCTGCCCTCGTAAAGTAACCTGATTTGGCTCCTCACCTTAAAAACAAAAATACAGTAGGACAATGAAATTTCAGCATGTAAAGCAGTCATTTATTATGAGAGGAACCAAAAATTCAAAAACCTGCATCACAGGAAAATAGACGTCACATGACATTAAACCTCCTACTCAACAAGATTAAAGTGAAGAAAAAAATATTTGTCCCGCACCTGCAGTTAACAGCAATATATCTCTGATTCTCATTCTAAAACTCTTAGTAAAATGTTGTAGATGTTGCAGCTATGAATTATCTAAATAAGTTAACATGTACGTGATAATCTAACTGGCAGCTATGAATTATCTAAGTGAGTTAACATGTACGTGATAATCTAACGGACAACATCATGATGATATACAAGTCCTAACTTGCATGAAAGTCCGATAAGCAAAAAGTGGACATGGATCCAGGAGTGTTTACTCTCCATTGGCCAGCTCGCTTACACTTTAAAGGTATGACTTGTGATCCAAAACAAATTTAGTCAGAAAACTCCCCTTCTCGATTACTCTTCCAAGGAAGAATTTGAGGAAGCATTTTAAATATAAAGTACATCATTGTTCTATAAGTGAAGGTATGGACCTAGTTGGATGCAGTCATTAAAACTAATAATTTACTGTTGTAGTATACTTTTTGCTTGATTGTCAGTTAGTGTAATCTCTTTAAAAGCAGCTTTCGCTTTGTGCAATATAAAGTTATCCTTTTGTCAGGGCTTTGTGTTTTGGCCAGAGAGCGAAGGTCCTCTGAGTTTAGAGAGACAAAGGGATTTGGGGGAAAATTGCATAAACAAGGGCATTTCCTTGTCAGGTGGGTGCAGAAGTTGAACAATAAAATATAAAGCAACAACAATCAAATGAAGAAGAGGGGCAGCAGCCACCTATTCCCCTACCAAAACTCTCTCTCTCTCT